TTTTGAAGCTCTGTCCGACATACTTTGGGCATGTTGTTGCAAGAAGGGACCAGTCCTTGGAAAGAGATACCATGCTTGGGAGGGTTGATAGTGCAAGAGAGGAAGATCCAGGATGAGATGGTCTGATCCAGTGACTAGAGTAATGGGGGTAAGAGAGTCAGAGGTGATGAAATTGTCTCAGGATAGAGCAGGGTTCAGAGTTGTGCATAGGGTTGCTATGAGTAGGAGTTGACTCAATGGCACTAAACAACAAAGTAATTAAGGAGTTGTAGTGCTCTGGAAAAGTCTACAGTCAGTGATCTCTCTAAATTATGAAATAGCAATATCAATTTGAAGGCTAAACTGCACCTGATTCAGGCAAAGATCTTTTCAGTTACGTGCTCTGCTTTGAGTTCTGTTGTTAGAGAAGAATACTGTATGTCCCACGGATTGTCAAAAGAACAGTCTTGGACAAATACATGCAGAATGTTCCTTGAAGGTAAAGATGACAAAGCTTTGTCTCACATATTTTGGGCATGTTCGGAGAGACTATTCCTTACAGAGTGACATCATGTTTGTAAAAGTGGAGAGTAGGCAAAAGAGAGGAAGACCCTCAGTCAGCTGGATTGTCACAGTATCTGCTAAATGGGCTTGAGAGATGAGGATGGCACAGGATAGGACAGGGCTCACATGGGAGAGTGGCTGTGAATTGTACTCTACTTTAGGCATCTAACAGCAGTAACAAATTAAATTGTAAGCTTTTAGTAAGGAGGTGTTTTACAATGTTTTATTTTTCTGCAACAAAATTAATGATTATCTTTTCTTCTTATAGTTAAAAAGTTTTTAATACTAAAATATGTGTTCATCCTCAGCTGCACTGAGATGAATATGCATTGTATTAAATACACATTACTAAATCATCTTTTTACGTCAGATTACTTTTGTAAAGTGTTATATGCAGCTAATAGTTATTGAATATATTGTATTAAAGTGTAAAGGTATTCTATAGAACAGTGTTGTTGTTGTTGTTGTTGTTGTTGTTAGGTGCCATCGAGTCACTTGCGACTCATAGTGACCCTATGTACAACAGCCCTAAACTCTGCTCCATCCTGTGCCAATCGCACTGTCTCCGACACTCCCATCCCAATTATCCCAGTCACTAAATCGATCCACCTCATAGAGGGCCTTCCTCTCCTGCGCTGTCCCTCCACCCTCCCAAGCATGATGTCCCTCTCTAAGGACCGGTCTCTCCTCACA